AGTAGAACCTCAATGATGGCTGCAAGGTAAGGAGCAAAGTGTGGCCTGGGTTTTCTTCTGAACGACCACAGAAGCCAGTGGAGAAAATATAACACGACAAGAAACACCATGACAGCAAAGACTTGTAAAGAACGGAAAAGCTCCTTGGTGACGGCTGTCAACCCTGGAAACGGGCACCCGAACGAGGAATCAGCCACTTCCACCTTGAAGTTATAAATTGAGATTACTGATGAAACAAAGATGTACTTGTGGAGAATTTCAGTGGAGGATTCCAACATAAGAAGATCAGCAACTTGGTAGAAATAGAAAATGATTTTAGAATAGCCGTGTCCGCCATGACCATGTGTGGTTCCTTCCTGTTCGTGCGTTATGTATTGCATCGATGGCTTCAGGTGTTTGAACCACAAAAGATTATTTCTTAGGTAAAAAACAATTGGGGGTTTACACAGTAGGTAGCCCGCCATAATGACCGAAAACAGACCAGCTACTACCCAGAACCAACCATCTTTACACTTATCTTCAGGACGGCACTTTTGATTGAACAGGCTTTCGGTGTAACCTTCCTTACACGCCCCACACATCAATCCAGTTCGATTACCAGAACATCTATTATAAACTGAAGCGTTGGTCTTTGATTTAGGCACACGGCAATAGTATTCAGGACATCTAGTAAAGTTCAGCTGAGGAGGATAATTTGCTGTGGTGCTGTAGCCCCAAAAGTTTGGCCGACTTTGAATGTTCCAGGTACAATCGGCTCCGAATGGACAAAATTCAAGGCAGGTAATTGGTTTTAAAGTTTTCTTCTGGTAGGATCCCCTCTCAAGACTGTATTTTCCCACCCCGCACATTTTGCAGATAAACTTACGCTGAGTAATGTTTATGCAGCCACTGTTTGAGYCCTGGTGTATGAGATGAGAGCCATCTACAAGATCCATGTAGCTTCCAACCGGACAAAGTAGTTTTGTGCTCGTGTCAATGTGCACGTAGCCTTCAGTCTGAATGGTAAAATGTGGGATACTCCTCGCTGAAGTGTCATTGGAAACAAAATTAGAGTTTATTAGCAGCAGTGGACCACGGGCTCCTGCAAATACAAACAACATCGAGGAAGTATCATTTTTGGCAATTCTGGATGTCAAAAAACTGGGTTTTCCAATGGTTTGGATAAAATTGGTGTTTTGAAATTCTACGCTTGATGTGCCTTCCTGGATAAAGAGATGAGCTCCAGTTTTTGGTTTGAAACAATAATTGTTCTTAAACAGGCAATTTACGAGGAAGTGTTTGCCATTAGCGAAATATGTGATGAATGAAGGGCCTGTGTTGTTTTCAAAGAAGACATCCTCAAATACAAAAATGTTTCTGTAAATATACGATGGGAATTTAGAACATGATTTACTGGTACTGTTTGCGTAGTCCTCTGGTAGCTGAAAGAAAAACAGCGTCTCAGGGATAGAGAAATTCATATTGGCATTTCTGTGGAAGTTATTTTTGAACATAGATCGCCGGAAAGTAAATGTAATGTTACCATCATGAGATTCAGGGACAGTGACACTAAATAAGTGGACGATTTTACCATCATAGTCTTTCGAATTGGAAATAAAATACACACGGTCAAACAGGACAGTTCCAGTTATGCGTAAGTTTTTGAGTCTCTTGCTTCCAAACTGAAAAAATGCCGTATTACCTCTAATGTTCTCCAAGATCGTTACGTTACGTAGTTTAATATCGATGAAATTCGGTTGCACATATTTGATGTTAAAACTTTGGTAATTATTAGAAAAAGTTGAATTTT